CAGAACAGATTTCGCGGCACCTCCTTGCGCGAGGACGCGCTTTGTGGAGGCGCGAGGAGGTGTTCGTGGTGTTTCGAAAGTGATGACCCCGCGAGCGGTAAAGGTGCGTGCAGCTGCTTCCTCCTCGGAAAGGCATTTTATACGTATGGAACAACACTAATGCGATGGAGATTAGCTTACCGGGGTTCCCATGAACTATTTTTGAGCTTAATCGTTGCGCTGATCTGCTGTTATACGCCGTACCTACCTCTACGAGGCTATACGTTGTAACAGATAATTACTCCGAGGCGGGGGAGAGATAGACGTTCCTGGATCGCTAATGAGCCTCTGGAATATTATCGACGCGTACGGTAGCGCTCATCCCGGCCAATGAGTTTTCCGTTCTTTCACCGCTACGTAGTCCCCGTATCTCCTTCGTCTTCCCAGAATTCGATGTTTTAAAAGCGAACATCTTATCCTGGGTTTTTCGTTTCGGTTTGTTCGTTCATCAAGTTGATTTTCTCGGCAGGAAAATCATATAATTCTTTTAATCAACTCGATGGATTTTCCATTCCTTTTTTCGCTACGTCGTTTTCAGATCTCCTTTTCTCATTTTCCTAGAATTCGGTGTTCTAAAAGTGAACATTTTATTCTTGATTTTTTGTTTATTCGTTCATCAAGTGATTTTCCTCGCAGGAAAATCACGCCATTTTCTTAGTCGATTTTTTCCGTTTTCTCACAGCTACATCGTCCACCGATCTCGTCTTTCGTTTTCCCAGAGATCAATATTTTTAAAACGAACATTTTATTCTGAGACTTTTTCGTTTATTGTTCATCAAGCGTAACACAGACTTGCGATACTTTTTCCCTCTAGAAAATCACGCCATTTTCTTAGTCAGCTCATTCTGGCTGATGGATTTTCCGTTCTTTCACAGCTAGGTCGTCCTCCAATCTCCTTCGTTTTCCTAGGATTCCACGTTTCAAAAAAGCGAATAATTTATTATAAATTTTTTTTCGTTCGTCATGCATGACACTCGCATGAAATTCGCGATATTGTCTTATTCGATTTATTCTAGCCAATGAATTTTTCACTCTTTTACTGTTACAACGTTCTCCCTCCCTCCCTCCTTCGTTTTCCCAAAAGCAAACATTTCATCTTGGATCTTTTCCGTTTGTTCATTCGTTAAGTACGACTCGCAAGAACCTGGAAAAGCACACTATTTTCTCAGTAATTTTCTTCTCTCGTGTTGAGAATTATACGCGGGGAGGTACATCCTACACGGTTAGAAGGATTCTCGTATCGTCGAAAGCTCGTCGTTCCCCTTTCCGTGCACGCTCCCATCGAACCGTTCGTCATACCGCGGACGCGTATCGCGAACCGTCTGGGTCACAGGTGAGAGATTAAAGAGTCGCTCCCGACTTCACTCTCCAGTTGAGAGCTCACGCGGAGAAATGGGATCGTAACGTGCACGCGACTGCAGCAGTCGTCGTCGTCGTCGATCGAAGCACGTTGATATCAAAACACGCCCGATCGCCGACTGGTGTGTCGGATCGAACGGCTTATTATGCACTTTCACACACACCAGATGAAATATTGTACGTGTCATTTTCGCGTCGACGAATAATTATCTCTACACTGAGAGAAAAATGTTTGTTACTTGTAACTATGATCACACACAGAGAAATAATTGCTGAGGTAAATGTCCCAATGCCCGGACATGTACCTAATTCCGGGCACTCTTATTATTTTGAATATTTCTCTAAATATTTCATCTTTCAACGTACACTAAATATAAATATTAAATGTATGTATACCAATATGTATGTATTGTATGTTAAAAGTTGAAATATTCATATTCAAATATACAAATAATAATAATGTTCGGAGATTGGATAATAACATGTCCGGACATTGGTACATTTACCTTATAAATCGTGGTCGAGAAAATCTTTTTTTTTTTTCTATTAAAGTCTATTATAATGTTAGTGATAATAACCATATGTGCATGTTATATATGCTATTTTACTATAAAAAAAAATGATGGGAGCCAAAAATAACGACAATTTCAGTTGGATCAACCATTTTTCTCTCTCAGTGTATTGATACTCAAAAGAGAGCAAACATCGACTTCTCGTGATCTTCTTATGTACCAGTTTTTCTCTCTTTTTTCCTCCTCTTCTTTGCTTCCGCACGATTCGGATGGCGGATTCGCTAAAATCGTACGGCAAAAACTGTTGCAACGTCGGAAGCGGTAATGCCCGGCGAGCGTACGGTTCTCAAAGGGTTAATTGGGCATAGTAACTCCTCAGGTGACCAAGCTCCATGGGAGTGTGACGGAGAAAACCCGGTTTCGTGCGCGGAATTCAGCACGGTACCCACGTATCTATTTATAACGTCTTATAGACGAACGTCTTCATTCACCTTGTGACAGCGAAGTATGGAGTGACCTTGCGCATCGACGTTCGTTACACCTTGCTGACAGCGAAGTATCATCGTACGTGCATCCGCGCCTCTGCACACGCGAATACATTACCATAAACTAACATTATTCGCCGCCCGTATAAAGGTGGAAAAAGAAAGAACGAAAGAAGGCGAGAAAACGACCTGTTTGATTCCTATTATTTGAGCGCCTCTGAAATTGCAAAATAATTATTCAGGGACTTCCTAATTTTCTTTCTGCGTATGGGAGATTTCGCGGAGACGATTTTTTAGATCGATAATATTTTGTCGCAGTTTCGGAAAATAGATTTGTCTGTCGTTTGAAGTGTCTTGTGTAACTAATACGTCACCTGAGTGAAATTTTGATCTCGTTTCCGGCCTCAACATTCAATTTAACGTCTATTTTGATAATTTGAAATCTACGTCAATCTTTTTTTATTTAATTTATCCGAATCGAAATTTTAGCCCTACTTTCGATCTGATCTTTCCAATATATATTTTGAAGGATCAATGTATGCTTGATACACGTACAAACTGAAATCCTATATGTATGTATGTATATACATATATAAACATAGAGAAAAATATATATTGTGCTTGTGGCCGGGCGGCCGTATAGGCGGGCGCTCACAGCCGATGGCGTTGTACTCGGAACTCGAACCTTCATTATACGCCGTCTCCAATCACGTGTGACAAATTATTCTCGCGTCACTTCCTCTAGTGCACCGACGAGATTTCCACGGGGTACGACCTGGAAGACCGTCTGACAGCCATGCCCAATTCTTCACGGCGCATACGTGTCGACGTCTGAAAGAGTGTAATGGAATAATAATTACCGATTCTCGATTTTGCAATTCGCAAAACTCAGCTATCTTAAAAGCGCGAAATCTTGCCCCGTGATTCGAACCTGGAATCTACTGATCTAAACTCTGACTCCAAGCGAATCTAAACTAGACTCCACCGAAACGGTGGGGTATCGTGCTTAAAATATAGTTTTAAAATTTCAAAGATACCAAAATCGCGGGGATAAGTCAGCTCGCGAAATTATCGTCGAGAAGAGACGTGCGCCAAGTTTCTCACGGAGTCAAAGATCGTCGGGACATTCGACGTTTCTGAGACGTATGTCGCAATGAGTTCAAGGAACATCCTCTGAGGACGACGTGGGTGCCCCACGTCGAATCTCGCACTCCTGTCGCGCCGCGCTCCTCTTGCACGGTTAAACGTCGAGTGGACAGGAGCGTCACGTAACCGTGATATAGTTTGTTTCGCGGACGCTGCGACACCCGGGCCGTCATGGCTCGAAATAGGATACATAACAGAGACAAACAAAAACAAGAAAAAGAAGGAAAAGAAGCAGAGCATCATCCTTGCGTGTCGAAGCCGTAGCAGAGCCGCGGCTGAGGTCGAGGAGCAGTGCGCGCGCGATGGAGGCACGATGGCAGGCACACACGAGGCGGCGGCGGCGGCGGCGGTGTATAAGTCAGCACTCAGGATATTTCGTCATTTCCTGCTTCTCACGCGATACAATCTAAATTAACTATGTTCGCTTGGCTAGGCCTCCTCCCTCGCGCCGAGAGGCTCGCATCTCTCAAGAAAATTTCTTATTTCCTAGCGAGGAGGGCCGTCACCGCCGCCTTCTTCGTCGCCGTCGCCGCCGCCGCCGCCGCCGCCGCCGCCACCGCGTCGCCGTCGTCGTCGCCGTGGAGGAACGAGGGGACGTGGGGCGGCGTCGAGAGGACGAAGACGAGGCCGAAGACCCACCGCACCGCGCCGGGGCTTTCACAACGTTCCCGTTTTGCGCCGTAAAGTGTGTAAGTTGCCGCGCGCTCTCCTGACGACTCGCTCGGAAAATCAGCCTTTAATGTCCTCGTGACCGGAAGGGAGAGAGAGAGAGATAGACAAACAGACAGAGAGATACGCGCCGTCCTGTTGCATCGGGAAAACGGAGATTCGCGGAGAAAGATCGTGAGCCGCGTTTTCCTGAGACGCTTCAGGATACGTCGGCCATTAGAATTGAAAAATCGTAGGCGATGTTAGCGATAAAGCCCCTAACAGACTAGGTGTTAGAGATTACGAGTTGAAGATTAGAAGTTGAATAATCGCGACAGAGCAAACCAAGATCGGAATCAGTCGATTCGTTAAATTTTAGCTTCTGATCAACATCCTCTCCTCTCAATCTCCAATGTCTTTAGATGAAGAGCTCAAGGAAATAGGAGGAACTTATATATCTGAGAAACGAGTTAGAAAGATAATATGATACGTGGAAATGATTTCTATGAAGGTGCCATGAGAGCATCTCGATACGGTGAGTGTTGACGTCCTCGTGCGCACGAGAACGTACTAAAACGCACCGTCGCGAAGAGAGAAAGATACGCGCCGAAAGAAAGGTCGAAACATCGCGGGTTCTTGCCAGCTCGAGTGTGACTTTTGTGAATTCCAGGGTATTCTAATTCGTGCCTATCCTCGGGGAGAGGCCGTTTTACGGCTCGAACGTAGCAGCCGCGGAGGAAGTAGGGCGTAAAGTGCCTTGAACTTTGAACCGTACGTTTTTTAAACGCCGCGAACGGGGAACTGGCGGGAAACTGGCGCGGTTCTTTGTCGCACCTTGTAATTCAGTATTCCGAGTGTTAACTGCATATCAATCTCGACAGATCAAAAATTGCACCAGCGCCCGTAATCGTTTCATCTCCACGCGGAAAAAACCACTCTGTTAGTGTCACTGAATTTCCTGTTTTTTGAGGACCAGATGAGAAACTTGATTGTAGGAATAGAAAGATTTTTTTTCCATATGAATAATAATTTTTTTCATATAAAATATTTACTTTAATTGACAGCATCTGACAGGTTAATTTACACTCGAAATTGTTGAAGTTTATGCAGAAATGAAAATTAATTTATTAAATCTCACAAATAAATTTCCATGTTTTTTCTCAATGTATGCAATCCGGAATAATCGATATATTTTCTGCATTTTGAAAAATTGAAACAAAATTCTCCTCCAAGTCTTGTTAATCTCGGAAATTCGATGATCAAGTCGATCTCTTCGTCGAATATCTCAGTTATCTATCAACAGTTCGGAATTAGGGATATACTTCATGTATTTCCAGAAATTGAAATTCTGAATCCTTTTTCTTCTCCAGTCTTATTAATCTCAAGAATTCGGTGGCCAAGACGGCCTCTTCGTCGAATATCTCCTAACAAGGATCCGGGATAACAGCGCGAACGGGTGTCTCTCATACGAGTCCGCGCAGCTTGAATTTCGCGTATGTCTGACCAGTGCTGGACCGTATCACTTGCCGAGCGACATTTCCTTGATATTTCCGCGTCCTGCATCGACTCTCCCACGTTCATCGCGAATGAATTTCGTACGCGTATAAGCACGCGCGCATCCCGACGTTAAGCGAGATCAGAATTAACGACACGCGATGATCGAGCGAGCTATCGCAATTTTGTAATTACGATCGAGCAATTAAATTGCGTGTTTCCATGGAATCCGGGATACGGGCGCAGGCGAACTTCAAAGAACTCGCGCGAGCGAAAGAAGTGAGATGATATCGGCCGCGAGCGTAAAGTGCGGAAATGTTATGCGGCGTGCGGAGAACACACGGTGGGAAGGTGTAACTGACCATGGTGCGAGTACACGCGTTCGTAGAAAAACGGGGGATACTGTGTTTTGCATAGAGGAGCGACGCTGCTCCTTTTTCCGTTCGAACGCGCCGGCGGCGCGATTTCTCTCTGCTCCGCCGTTGTTTTTTGACGCACAACTAATTAAACACGACGTTACCCGCGGGTTGCGTGCACCGGCGTTAATGAAAAGGCCTCGAATTAAAAAAGAGTTGATCGCGCGAGCAGCTGATCGAACACGCGATATTTTCGTGTAAAATTAGCATCATCAGCAGAGGAAGCACACGGAGAGAATTTTACAGTAAAGGTTACTATAGAATTTTGCGATCGAGGGATATATCGACATTCTGCAATAATTTACTGTCTTTTCACCTCACATGTAGTAGTTATATTTTAGAAATCGAAATATGTGTGCTATTAAAACATTGTATTTCTAGCGTAATATTCCTTAGCAAGATAGATCTTACTAACAGTCCTGGACCATTTCTCTTCTTGTGCGGAGAACAAAGTTTTGTCGAATTGACTAATTTCTCTAAAATGTGAACAAACCAGAAAATTCCGGTTGATGTTACCAGAAATTTTGCTAACTTGAATAGAATTCTGGTAACTTCAACGAAATTTTCTGGTCCGTTCATATTTGACTAGAAATTTGCTAACGAAACTTGGTGATGAGAAATATTTATTATTATTTATATTTATTACTTTAGCTACTGTCAAGAAGAGGACTTGGTTTACAAAAATTGTCTTAATCACACTTATCTGCCCACACCTAATAGTAAACTTTTTTCTATCTATATTCTCATCCTAGTATCATAATAGTTACAGTCTATACATTTCGTTATTTAAGTTTCCACTCTTTTACTCGTTACTATCATCATGCTCATTACATTAATCAATCTACTTTATCTTATTCCAACTTACCTATTTACTATTACATTTTGTATTGTTACTACCCGACCCTTTAGCATCTTCATCATAATCTATCCTTTAATATCCTACAACAATTCAACGAAACTTTTTTATGGATTACTAAAAACATAGCAAAGTTGAAAAAAATTTATATAAACATTTATATATAAAAAAACCATAATATTCTATCTATATTCAAACACCAAGTACGTCTTTCTGATTCCCAAGTCAAACGACCTTATACGGGACGCTCGTGTAGGACAAACGAAACTTGGAAGAAAAAGGGCGTACCAGCGAAATGCGTGAGGAGTACGGCCCCGGAACTCTCTCGCGTCAACACCAATCGATCACCCATTCGTCGTCTAACATTACCGACATCGCGAGATCGCGACGAGGTCCCCCAAATGGGGCCGGCCACTGCGCTTCGTCGCGTAATACATAAGGAGCGCGTGCACACGCACGCACGCACGCACGCAGGCAGGCGTGCGCGGCGCAATCGGCCGTGCCGGTGGCGTTTCTAACAAATTAACGGCCGATATCTCGTCGTTGCCCTGCTCCTTCTGCCTTCTGGCTCCACCTCCCGGCTCCGCGGGCCGTGCTGCGGGAGAGAGAGGTGCGCGGCCGCGCGAGATCCAGCCGGCGATGCGGGCGAGCGTGCGAGCGAGCGAGCGCGCCAGAGAGAGATCATTTTTGCCACGTATTTGCAAACTGAATAATAAATACGCGGATATACGCGAAGAGTACCGCGTTCCGCCTTCACGCAGCTCGCGCTTGGCGCGGATTGGTCGCACCAGCCGCGAGGGGACGGCGATATTCATTCGCCGTCTCTCCTCCGCTCCGTGGACCTACTTTGTACACGCACACACGCGCGCACGCCCTGATGCACGTGCACGCCGTGTTCCTCGTGGGGAGGGGACACCGAGTGCACGCCGCGGTCCTCTCGCCGTGTCCTTCTCCGACGTCTCTTTCTCTCCGTCTATCTATCTCCGCTCCGGTCATAAGAGAGAAGCGCGTTCGGCTCGAACGAGTCCGTCTCTCCTTTGGTCCGCTCTTGCGTCTCTCCTCTTGCTCTCTCTCTCTCTCTCTCTCTCTCTCTCTCTCTTTCTTTCTCTCTCACTCACTCACTTTGCAGTATCTCTTTCTCTCACTCGCTCCCTCACTCGATCTCCCAGTAGCTCCTCGGACTCGTTCTTTCTTTTATCGCCCCGCTGTTGTATTTATGTAGTATACATTTAAGTTTAATATTTCTGCTCTCGATTGTGCGCTATTCTCACCGTGTGTCACTTGCTGTTCAGAGGACATACAGAAAATATTTCTTCCTTACTCTTTTTCTCTCTTTATTTTTCTATCGTCTGCTCAATCCCGCTCCCCTATCTCTTTTTAATGCGCGCTATATCGTTTCATCTTCGTATTTTGATCCAATCGTGCTCTTTGCGTTCCATTCGTCGCGTGCCACTCGTACTCTCTTGAGAATTGTTCTTAGAATACAATAAATGTCGTCGTCTTACCTCTTCGTCCTGTTCCTCCCACCGCGAGTACGCGCTGGCATAAACACACAACGCGAATGCATTCGCTCGGCGGCGGACTCTTCACCGCACTATCGATTGTATAGGTTCTGCCCTCGCTGTTGGCGCGTACACGCACCACCGGCTTTCCCAAAGTCGCGTTCGACGTCTCGCAGACGTCAACGAGAAAGACACGCGCGAGCTTCGATGAGCGAGCGTGGGCGACGTTGCGCAGGACGGATTCGAAGATCCAAGTCGATAGTCGAGAATATCGACGATAATACCTCGCAGTAATGGGCCCGCAGAGGCGGATGCATAGACTGTTACGTGCCACAGCCTTAGATATTCGAAATCCTTTATTTGAGAGCTCCTTTTTGCGCCTTTCTTCCCAACAGTTCGGTTTCAGGTCATAAACACATATTTGGGCAAATTATAAATCTTTGTCCGACTGTGATAACCTTAAGGTTTTCGCTCATTTTTTGCATCTTTAAAAAAAGAAGAAAGATCATTCTTTTTTTTGTTAGAACATAGATCAGTCTCTAAGCCTCAAAGTTTAGTTACCAATGCTTGTACGAGCAACAGCCTGTGTACACAAAGAGAATATAGCTTTTTTATATAGCTTCTTTTCATATAAATTATTTCCCATTTTGCCATGTTTCCTAGTAGTGCAAAAATAGATTGTCAATAGAATTTATCATAAGGAACATAACAAATTTTGTAACAGCAGATTTCAGTTCTTAAAATACAAATAATACATGTAAAACGAATGTTAATAAATCAAGGCAAAATATCGATATGTTCCTTAGTTACATAATTCTATAACAATTTTTACTATAAAAAATTAGTATAAGTAAATATTATATTATATATTAGTATAAACAAATATGTTACTATATAGTACCTGAATAAATATTTCTTATTTTTTATATATTTTTTCTCTCAGTCTAGGGAAACATAGTAAAATCGAAAAGAATTTATATAAAAGAAAACAAAACTAATATTCTCCCCATGTAACATGTCCAACGCGTCCGAATTTCGATATAAAGCACATAATCAAGTTTCTCTATATCCCCCGGGGAAACGATAATGACATCTCGAGGTCGGGAGGATAGCAGCTTACGGAAAGTATCAAATTTAAGGCACACGTTACTGAAAAATAAAGAGGAAGAAGAATAATTTTTCTTAATCGAACAAAGACGAGCGAAGGAGAACAAAGTCCGCGGCATAGTAGAGAGGTGGTGACGCGTCGAGGGGGTTGAAACGAGAGGCGCAACGAGGAATATCAACGATAATACCCGAGCGTCGTTGCCCCGTCACGGCTATAGAGACTTCATTTCGTTTTAGGGATTGTTCAGCCGAACAGCATAAATATTTATGCACATACGCAAGCATTACGCGCTTGCTGGCGCATTAACGAGCACAATGCACTTATATCGTTTCATATACATACCTGCGCTCAGGTGAGTGACGGCCGGCCGGCCGGCCGAGCGTGATGTTTTTCTCAGTTTACTTTACGGTTCCTCGGATGTCGTATATTCTCTGCCGTTTACTGCTGTTTACTGTTCCGCGCCTCTATTTTCAGGCGCCTCTGTCTCGCGCCAGGTAACGTGATAACATATACATACGCGTAACAATAACGACAATGCGCGCGCAGGGTAGAGACGGTGTGGTCACGGACAGTTACAGCTCGCCCGTATTGTGTACGCGCGGCGGATCAACGCGCGGAATTTCGCGGAAGTTCTTTTTCGTCGCGAGGTAGCGTGCGAGAGCGAGACGGCGTACGTCATCGAGATCGATATCGACCGCGTATTATCGAAAGGGCAGCCGGCGTGCCGCGAGTCGTGGCCGCCGCGGCTCTTGCTCACACCACGAGTCTCACCAACTCGGTATATCGCCTGGCGCGTATCCTCTCTGCTCCTTCGCGCGACTTGCTTTATAATCTTTTAAATATTCAGTTCGTACGCTCGGTTTTACATTCACTATAGCGTGTCGGTCGCTACGCTAGACGGATTCTCGCGCGCGGTGCACGTGTGCCGCGCACGCGGAAACGCAGATCGTGGCTCGCGCCGCGATTGATCTCTCTCTCCCTCTCTCTTTTTTTTTAGAAATCTTTAGAAATCTGATTTATTAAGGTAACCTTAATAAGTCAGGGGTGGAATAATTTTTGCATTTCTGTTCATTTCACTTTTTTTTCTTTCTTTTTTTTTGTACAATCTTTAGTGAATTTTGTCATTTTTATTATTTTTTGCGCTTCAGAGAAATTTTTCTAAAGCACATAATCTCTCCCTCTCTCTCTCTTTTTTTAAAGAAATCTAGGACCTGATTTATTAAGGTAGCCTTAATAAATCAGAGGTGGAATAATGTTTGCATTTCTGTTCATTTCACTTTTTCTTCTTTCTTTTTTTTTTTGTACAATTTTTAGTGAATTTTGTCATCTTTATTATTTTTTGCGCTTCGGAGAAATTTTTCTAAAATGCATCTCTCCCTCTCTCTCTCTGTCTTCCTCGTTTTCCCATGTTTTCGCATTGAGTCGAATTCGCCGACGTCATTTAACTTTGAACACCATTCGGGCGATACAGAGATAGAGATGATCCTTATTTTGAGATCTCTTTCATTAATAAAAGTGTCTGTAAATAAATAAATAAATAATGTAAATATTTTGGTGGACTCATAAGCACATCTAGAACGGAATTTATAGTCAGATATTATATTCAAAATCGTCCTAAGTTCATTTTCAGATTCTACATTGATAGAAAAAAATGATTGATCTAACTAAAATTATAAATATTTTATTCCTCAACCATATCTTTTTAGTTGCTCTAGCATGAAAATGGTAGTAATAATATACATATAAGATTGTTATCATTAACATTACAGTGGGATCTAAGAAAAAAATTTTTCTTAACCATAATTTGTAGTAAATATTTCTCTACGTCATTGTAATTACAAATAGCAAACATTTTTTTCTTAATGTGAAATAGAGCTATTTTATTGACTACGGAGCATCTGAAGATGGACTTAAGACAATCTTACACGGAAAGAAAGTTTGGCTGGATTAATTAAATTTCCAACGAAATATGTACGAACCAGAAAATTTCCCCTCCCCCCGTTCAAATTACCAGAATTTTGTACAAATTAATAAGATTTCTGGTTATTTCTCAACTGGAGTTTTCTGACTCATTCATATCTCACCAGAAAAATTTGGTTAATCCAACCAAACATTTCTCTTCCGTATAAATGTCAGGTATACGAATATCGGTCTCGAAGACATTTCTATTGAGATTCTGAATAAGACCCAGAGAATTTTCTACGCGTAAACACGTGGGCGTGCGAGTATGCGAAAACACGAATATTTTTTCTCTCGCACGGGGCCAAGCAAGGAGCGCGAGCGAGTTGCGCTTCGCGTGCGCACTTTTTTGCAGGACAAAGTTCGACGTAACGAAGCGTCCGACGTTAACGAAGCGTTAAAGCGAGGCAGGTGCATCGCGCGTTAATGCAAAGGACCAGAAGGAATACATAAGGCGCATAATCGCGAAAGATCGCAACAGTAATAACAATATGATAATGATAACAATAATGATGATAGGATAAACATGCGATTTTTTTGCGCGGCAACACAACGGAGCCGCACTCTCGCACGTAGTTTATATTTAGACTCCGCGCTTAGAGTGAATTTATAGTCATTGCTATCGGGATCCTTTATGCACCGTCCCTTGGCGATATTGCGGTGCGTGCCCACACTCCTCTTACACTCTAGGCCAATGGTTCTCAAACTTTTTTCGCTCGCGGCGTGGCATTGTCTGGCACGTAGGGAGAGTTGCCGAGAGTTGCGCCGTTGCATTAAAAACAGATTAGCCGGCGGATTATACCGCGAACTATCGCCTCCGCCTTGCCGACGCGTGCACCGCTCTCGACGAGGTGGACGCGTATTTTCGGGGACCGTGAGGATCGCACAGAGCGAAATGAAATCGCGGGCGATCGAGAGGCGAGGAAGAGGCGAGAGTCTCCCGCTGCGCGAGTGTCCGAATCTCCCCCGTGTGCGGCACTCCCTTTGAGAATCACTGGCCCAGGCAACGTTAGAGAGTACGTAGTGTGTGTCTATATAATCTCGGCCTTTTTTTCACGCGCGTGTGATGACACCCACGTGGTCTCTCGGCATCGCGCTCGCGCGATTCTCGCATCGAGCCACCGCCAATCTATATGGCCGCAACCTTTCTCCTCTCGTGTGCTAATCAATCTGTGCTTCCTACGCGTTTCGATTACGTAACGCGTAGCATTGTGAGCGCCGTCGTACGAAAATGTAAAAAGCAAAATCGAGAATCCGCGCCTCGCATTCCGCGCGTCACGGTTCGAGCGACGGCTCGCTCCCGCGTGCGAACGGCCGCGGCCGCGTGTCTCGCGCAATATCTCATATTCCAATGACATTTGCGGATACCTACGAGGCTCCGGGAGATCGACTGTCGAAACGCACAATAGACCGTGCGCGTTGAATTACACGCGCGAAATGATTAGCGTGCACGCTCCAGGCGGCCTGAATCCGCGGCCCTCTCTCGCGCGCGGCTGAATTTCATTTCCCTGGAACGTATAATTAACGACAAGAGCGCATTCGACAGCATTCGTGCTCGCTAAATACTTTCGACGTACGATTGTCGGCGCGTATTGGCCAATTATCGCCGCCGATATTCCCCACGTTGTCTCGGCCGCACGAGGTCCGTCCGTGCCGCCGGGGGCGGCACCGGCCGGCCGCCGCTGCCTCGTTTCGAACGCCGCCGCCGCCGCCCTCGGCTCCCTCAATTTTTATTCCCAACGGCGTTTTTCCCCAATTTTCGCCTCCCCCGCGGGACTTTGGCGCGATGGCGGTGGCGCGAGCGCGGAGATGCACGCCGCCTATGCACGGGCGGAACCGCGAGGCTGCGGTGCCTCGAGGGGGGCACTCGTTCGTTCGTTCGCTTGCTCGCTCACTCGCTCGCTCACTCGCGCGGGGCACCTTCTCCCGCCAGGTACACCCATGTACCCACACAGGCACACACACGAGGGACACACATGTGTACATACACACACACATACACACACACATATATCACTGCTCTACGATACACATATATACGTGCATACATATGTGTGTATACACACACATGTGTCTATTCCTACCTTTGTACTACTACGTAAACATAAAATACAAACGCACACATACACGAGCCCGCTTCCTCCTTGTACGCTCGACCGGCCGCAACACCGCCGCAACACCGCCGCCGCCACTGGCCCGCGATGCTCGTGGTGGTTCGCCGCGCCGCGCCGCGCCGGTCGGGCCCCGGCCCGAGTAGCAAGTCACCTCCGCTCACCTCGGCGTGGCGGAGCGCGCGCGCCTGACTTCAGTCCGCGCTCGACTCGAGTCGTGCAGCACGGAACGCGCAGGAGGTGCGCAAGCAAGCGGGCAAGCAGACAGGCCAGCGAGCAAACAAGCAAACAACAGGCAGACAGGCGGCTCTTGATCGCCGAGACGAGACGCGCGCACGCACAAGCCGCTGCAAATCCGCGGTGAAGCCGCGCGTACGCGTGTACACACATGAGGAAACGAGACATGTGACTGATCGCGCGATAGATCGTCGCGAAGGCGCGCTCGTGCGCGCGCGGTGCCGAAACGTCACGATCCGACGGTCGGGGCACAACGTGATCGTGGAGCGAGGATCAGCAGCGAGACGGAGACGAGAGATCGGCAGTGAGTGCTCCGGAGGATCGATCCTGCGATCGAACGGCGCAAGAACGGAACGCGCGACGCCGCGCCGCGCCGCGGTATTATGTCACACTCCCACGCGAGCGACGGCCGCCGCTGCCGTTTCTACCGCCGCCGCCACTCCTGCAGTTGTTGTTGCTGCTGCTGCTGCTGCTGCCTCCGCCGCCGCCGCCGCTGTTGCGAGATCCAACGTCCTCGTGGTTTGACATTTCCGCGGGCGCGCAGCGCCTGACGGATCGTGCGGCTCCGTCGGTGGATGTTGGCGCGTGCACGCGACAGAGAAAGATAAATAGACAGACAGACAGAGAGAGAGAGAGAGAGAGAGAGAGAGAGAGAGAGAGAGAGAGAGAGAGAGAGAGAGAGAGAAGAGAGAGGAGAGAGAGAGAGAGGAGAGAGGAGAAAAGAAGAGATAGAGGTAGAAGAAAATCGAGTGAACGCGAGACAGAATGGAGTGGATATTTGTTTGGCGTAGCTCCCAATCTTCCCTTCTCACTTTTTACAGCTTTACAAGCGAAGCACGCGATTTCCGCAGTATATACATGGACTTGAGCGGGAGGGGCAATTTGATTTTGCAAATATCGTTTTTATTACCTACTACGCGAATTTATCGGTTTCATTATATGTTACTTTATATGCAGCCGCGAATCGAACTAGCTCCGATACCTCGGGAGTAAACTGAGATCTTTCGGCTAAGGTGCTTTGCAAAATATTCCAAATAAAAAATGTTTTGCAGGAAGAATGGTGCGATATTATATATTTTGAACTATATATATATATATGTGTGTGTGTGTGTGTATA